ACAACATATCAGAATTTTGATTAGCCGAAATAAGACGGTGTCACTGAAAGTGCGCAGTGGTCTCCACCAAGGTTATGTGTTGCTTCCTGTCTTATTGGCAATTTTTCTAGAATAGATTAGCATACGCAGCAAGGCATCGAGAGTTTCACAGTTTGAAACATCTAGCGGAGTCATCTGTTGCTAACGGTTGTTCCTGCAATATTCGCTTCTTCTCATGATGCCCACCACCAACATATATTCTATCCCTTCGCTGCCACGGGTAACGAGCCAACAAGGAAAATAAGCCTCCAAGGAGGTTCTCTACCTGTATTCTGTAATTTAATAGAGTAAAGCTGGAACAGGGTATCTTTGGGTAGTATTCATGAATGATGAAAGACGGGACTTAAAAATTAATGCAGGCATCGGTCAGGCGAGTTCTGTAATGAGGATGCTAGACTGGGGTATGCGATGATGAAGAAAGAGTTGAACAGTAGTGTGAAGTTTTCCATCTGTCATGAACTTTGTCCAAGTGGCTACCATCTCCTGTGCTTATTACTGCCTGATATTGAGTGAGAACGTGCAATCCCGAATTCAAGCCCAAATGACGAGGTTTCTTTGGCGGATTAATAAGCTGACAAATTTTAACAGTGCCTGAAACCCAACAGTCTCAGACACTCCGTCAAGCGCTCAAGTAGTCACATGTGCTACAGTTTGGACATGTGACGTGAATGCCACAGGATGGCTTCCTGTCGCCCTTTTGACAAAACAGCATAGAAGATTACCGAAGCATGACTACGAACAGGATGTATAAATTACATAGAAGACCTGGCATAGCTGCACAGTGAAATCCTATCCATGAAGCTGACGCATTTGAATGAGGCCCGTGGCATTGGAAGGACTTCATGAAACAATTGTCATACAACCTGAAAAGAATAGCGAGTTTCGAACATAGATGCAAGCCAACCTCAGGCAGTACTGACGTGCTGGCCGTTGCCATCTTTGATAATCCACTTGAAGAGCTGAATGAAACATATTTCTGTACCATATACTTTTAACAGACGAAGAACACTTATCCCCAAGATGGAAAAAAGATTAATTTTGATATGAAATAAGAGAGAAAAAACTGACCTTTGTGGTCAACCTCGGCAAACAGCACAAATCATTGCTCAAAACATACATCTTGTCGCCATCCACTGAATAAAAAGGACGTTTGCTGCCCTTTACTTCTCCTGAATCACTGTAACTAGAAAGGTGGCAAAATTTCTAAACACTGCGTCGCTTAGCGCTTATACTTTTTGGTGTCAACGGTTAGCCGACTCCCGTAAACGAGCATTCCTCCAATTTTCCGATTTCGCAATTATCAGACCAATT